GCAAAGAGGACAGGGCTGGCGGCGGCAAGCTGTAGCTGAATGCAGACAAGTTGGTTGGGAGAGTTGGTGGCGCGAAAAAACTATCATGTACTTGAGTAAATTAATGAACTTCGTTGGTTCAAAGCAAGCAACGCACATTCCTGATCAGCATTCTTCGGCAGCGAATGTCCACAGGCTGCATGGGAATATGGCTAACGTGGCCTCACAGGAATAGGTCAGCGGCAATTGCTGCAAAATGTTTTCTAATGCGCACAAAAGGTCCATTCAGTGGTCCATTGTACAGATTTTCATTTCAATCGTCGCTAGCCTGAGAGGGACGAGGGAAAGCACGATCGACGCCTGCACTTGCCGGACGCGGGTAGCGACATTTACTGAATTGAGACATTCCTGTCATGATGACTGATGCCTCTGCGCACCGCAGGTGGGCCTCGCCCCACGCACTCACCGGCTTGCACTCCATGGCGTCTTCGCCCTTGTTCAGGATCTTGACGGCAGTGTACCCCGTCACGTTGTCCGCATTGTCTTCCCGAACATGACGAGCCCAGAAGTCCACCGGCCGGCTGGTTTTCAGCTCAAAGGTGGGCACCACCAGCGATGTCTCGCAGTGCTTAAGCGTTCTGTCGCCCAGAGCCGCCTTCAGCACTGCATTCAGGCCCTTGGGGTCGAACTTTACCCAAAACATTCCAGGGAACTGGTTGACAATGGGGATCCAATCGTACCAGGGTTTGGGGAAGATGTCTTTGCTCCTCAGTCTGAAGATGGCCTCCAGGGCGCCCGGTGTGCCTTTGCGCAGGGGCCAGTTCTCCCTCGCATAGTCGACAAACTCGGGCTCCTCAAGCAGCCCCTCCGAGCAACCGCCCCGGGTGGTGAGATACGTGGCGATGATGGACCCGATCGACGTGCCGGCGATCATGTCGAAATAGTCCGCCAGGTCGATCTCGAAATTTTCCCTTCCTTCGGCCACCAGGCTGCGGATCCGCCTGTCCTCGGCTCTGTTCCCCTCGTCGAAAACTATCTCTTCCCTGTGCTCGACTATGTAGTCCTTGATCGTCTGCTCCAGAGTCTTCAGCACCATGGTGGATATCATCCCCCGCGTGCCGCCACCGTCCAGCGCCAGCACGCTCCTGAACTTGGGCGCTTTCCCGCGGGCCTTCACCACGGGGCCGAATTGCGGCGCCTGCTCCACGGGGGCGCCATTCCCGCCCAGGGTCGTCCGCTCGCGGCTGGCCACGGCGGGCCGCGCCCAGGCGAGGCCCCTGGCCTGACTGGAGAGCCTCGCGCCGATGGCGGCATCGAATGCGCCCCGGCGACCGAGCATCTTGACCAGAAGATCGCCCAACGCCCACCTGGCACTTGCGTCGCCTGCCACCATTGCGAAATCAGCCCGTTAGACAGGGACCGCTCATTGGCGGCCAGGGATTGGAAAGCAGCACTATCGGATTGGAAAACCAGCCGGATCCGATGGACCCGGGGAGAGCGGCGACTTGTCCGCGAGCGCCGGTCTATGATTTCTTCGCTTTCCCGGTTGAGAGCCGCGTTGCACCGAGGGGTCGTCGTACGACCCTACCGCGGGTCGTCCTCGAAAGCGGGCGGGGCGGGCGCAATCGATGCGACGTCGCGAGCGGGGGCCGCGAGTGCGGGGAGTCCGCCATGGCCGCGAGTCCCCACCTGGAGCGCGCTCGGTCGACCTTTGCCGCCTTCGGGGCCGCCGGGGGAGGAGGTAACGCCGGAGGACCAAGGGCGACTTTGGGTTGGCCGCAGCCTATTTTTATTGGCCGCAGGGCACGCGCCGCGGCCGCGGCCCGCCGGGAAATCTTGCCCGGCTGCCGGACTTCCAGCCTGAGCGACCGTTCGTTCGGGTGCCTAATGGACCCCTGGGTCACCTGGTGCGTACAGACCGTACGGAGAGGTCCTCCCTCACGGACCACGCACTGATGATGAGGACGCCAAGATCTCGCCGGCGCCACAACCCCGCCCCGCAATCTACAACAGATCCGGGGGCGCTGCCGGCCGCGCCGGGGTGGCTGTGGGTGCACGACGCACCGGGGTGCTTGGCGGCTTCGCCACGCGGCCCGGCTGCGTGATGGTGACTCTCAAGGGCAGGGGCTGGGGATACGACAATAGGGCGGCCCGACATGGCGCGCCTCGCGGTGCTGGAGAGCCACGCCCCGGACCCGGCGGCCCGGGGCCAGATCGGACGCGCCCGTGATGGGTGCACACCCGAGGCCACCCTCTCCGGGAGGTGTTGACGCGCCGTACACGATCGGAGTGATGCGCCAGCTTTCCACGCGCGAACACCTGGCCAGGACGGTCTCAGCGCGAGGGGCATGTTTTAGGCAAGAAAAAGCTCAAGGTTCGTGCACGTTTCCTCTGTCCGAGACCAATTGTCGATTTCTGAAGGAGTTTTTTTGCAACGCTGAAGCGAGCCAAACGTCAAACTGACGTATATAAATACATATTATGTATTTATACGTTTTATTAAAACGTATTTAAACGTGTTTGAACATAAAACTTATTTAAGCATATTTAAGCATAAGCGTATTTAAAACATACAACATGGTGTATGCAAAGGCCAGAGCATCGATTGTCCAACCGAGTGCGGCGGTGTCCATGAGAAAGGGCTGCACTCTGGGACGTCACCATAGGTGGGATCAGCAACATCGCAAATTTTCAACTCGACTTGAGGTGCTCCTCACATGATACAACGACGGCGTCAAACAATAGCGATACTAAGTTCCGAATACAGGAGGTTTTGTTGTCAATAGGGTTAAGATTGCCCGTTTAAGGTCACATTTCTTGCGCGGTTGACTGTAACTGCTGTCCTTGAACTTGTAGTGCGCATATTTCTGTTAGATAAGGTGACGAAGACGATCAGAAGCTATGCCGTATTTGTCAGTTTTTAAGTTGTTCATCAGCACTGGGTGTTTAAACTGACTTGCGAACTGCAGCAACTCCACAAATTCTGCACCTCGAGCCTCAACAGTCCGCGCCACCTCTCTTTGAGGGAGGGCAGCTCCTGAGGGAAACGACAGCACAGTAACACTGTTACCTTGGGCGCCATTGCTTCAGACTTGGCACGACTCGCCTGGCCCCAAAAAAAAAATTTGTGCTCTTCAGGTCGATCAAATGCTTTGGGACATGACCATCCCCCCTGCTTCCCAGACACCTCGGGAGTGCTGGGGCATGCCCTGCGCAGTGGACAGCACTAGTGTGTATCTGCACTGTACTGTGCAGTGCTGTCGCCATGAAACAAGTGCAAATCAGCGATTTACGCCTACATTTGGGTCACTCGATGGGCAGCCACTATACTGCTTTCGCTACGTTTGGTGTCCAGTGAAAGGTAACGGGAATAGAGAAAAGGCCAAGACGATGGACGTGAAGAAACCGCGGAATTGCGTAAGAATCAAGACGAGCCGGGAAGAGGCTGGAGCACCCCACGCTCCAGCCTCTCTCAGTGTTCGAAAAGACGTTCCACGCGTGCATTTTTGCGTCTGAGGCTGTTCCCGTTTCAGAAAAGGCGGGTTTGCTGTCGCTGGAGCGCGAGAGCACGCAAAAGGTAGGCGAGGAGGAGGAGCAGTCCGTTGGCGCCGGTGCCAAGCGCTATGCTGCACCCGCCCATGTCACTGCGAATCCAAGCGCAAAACTTGGCGAAGATTGCAATTCCGCATGGCCATTTGAATGGTTTGCCCAATGTGACGCCTGGCCGCCAGTGCATGGTTTTCAGCGATCTAAAATACATGACACCGACAAAATGGGTGCAAGGACATTTCCCCAGTGCGCAGCCAGATCTTAGCGGGAAGCGCTGTGCCCATTGAACTTGACCACTGAGCAGCACATCAGCCGTACCGCCCACGCAATGCAATTTCCAGTGCTGCCCCGGATAGTCAAAGGGACAACACCGTGGACGAGTGTCAATGCGTGCTGCTCCCAGGAGCTTGGCACAACCAACTGCTGCCGTTCCTTCCCGATGCATCTTCCCCATTGACGGAGAGAATGCCCAGGGGAACACTGTTCCACGCATCGATCACCACTTTGTCGTCCAGTGGCCTTCCAGTAACAGGGTTGATCAACAAAAACCTTTGCTGATCGTCGCCCAGTATCCGTCGTTGATCGGCTATGTTTGTGCCGCTCATTACGCCGTGCCATCGATCGCGCCGGTGAGGCAGCGCAGATTTTGGGCCCCAGTTTGAGGTGTTTTCGATGCATTCCCGCTGCTCTGAGGTACTGCCGCGGCATTTAAACAAGGACTGACAGGAAGGGGGAGGGGGAACGGCAGCCAACTCGAAAAGGCCTTTGGCAAGAAATTTATTGGATGGGGCATTTTTCTTGGATGGGCCATTTAAATGGCGAGAGAATGAAGGACAACAGGTATGCTCAAAACCGACGGGACAATACTGCAAAGGTCACATAATGCCACGTTAGCGTCCAGAACCTAGCGGCATACATTGGCCTCCCATTTTTTGGAACAAACACCCAACCTTGCACATCAGAGCAAACACGTACGCAGGTCCACATACAGAGAATCCCACAGCACCCCTAAGGCAATGGTGAATCGAATTTGTGCAATTGCACAGCAGCAACAATGGAAGTCATCAAGAACATTTTTTCAAATTTTCCATCGCCCAGATGGCTGCTTCCATTTCCGTCCACTGCACAGAAGAAGCGAACAATCTAAGCAAAATTTTTTCAACGTACACTTGCCGAATCTTTCATCCGCTAGTAAGATGGCAACACTTGGAGCTGTCAGTGGCCGATGCTATCAACTCCCGCACTGCAGCATGACCCGCCACGCATTATTCAGCATGATGGCGTCCTAAACCCTTCATATTGGGACTTGAGATTTTTGGGCTTGGTGCCAACTGCCGTCGTGGCAGCTGCCGTCGTGGATCCGCCAAGGCAGACATATCCACAACGCACGGCCCCATTCACCCACCAGCAGTAGTACCGCATATCCTGTGCAAGCAAATTTTCCACTCTGTCGCGGTCCTCACTCCAGTTTATCAAACCATCAAAAATTTGTCCACAAATTGGCCTATCACCTCATCGTTTGTTTCCGCCACTCTAATGCCAATTTTGCGAAGGTTTTCCATCTCCTCATAGTCGTCCGCCGTCTCCAAGGCGTCGATCTTATCTCCCAGGTACGGGTCGTCCTTATCGAGGGCGATCTGAATGCGTGTGTACTGACCGTACGGCCTTTCCAGCACCTTGTAGTATATTCCATCGACTATGGACTGAACGTACTCGCTCTTCTGATCCAGCAGCAAGGGTATGAGGCCGCCCTTCTTGTTCCACCCGTAGAATCCAGCGTCGCTGACCTTCAGCCTGTCCGGCAGCACCACTCCGCATCCAAGGGAGAGCACGGCGATGTCGTTTATCTCCACATTTCGCTGCTGCCGCAAGTAGGACAGGGCGCTCGCGGTGGGGTTGCTCGCTATCAAGCCGCCGTCGGCATACTTCAACTTACGCCCATCGGGGTACTGAATCTCCGAAGCAGGGAACATCATTGGGAATGCAGCGCTGGCGGCCGCCAGCTCCCGCAGTTTGAAGTCATAGCCGTTCATGAACTCTCGGTCCTGAGGCGCAAACAAAGCCGGAAATGACTTCGGGCATTCAATGTTTCCCATTACAGATACGTGATTTGAATAAGTGTGTTGCCTTGGCGAGATCGCCGAGTTCGGCAAGTGGTGGAGAGGAGCGGCACACGTCATGCGCGCTGAAAAGAACATCTCAACTGACACAGAATCATGAACAGGTTTGGAAGTTATAGCAGAGTCTAGACAAAGAAAACTGGTTGTCCACACCAGCCAGGCACAAGATAGCCATGCAGAGTCCCAGCGATGCAACCAGAAACAAGGTCCCCAACCCTGAGGACATCCATCGGTTTGAGTACACTACATTAACAAAGCAAGCACTCCTCCATCAGAACACTGACTAGCGCAGACGTTCGCAGGATCCTGGGACCGCGACTTTGCCACTGCCATGGACATTCCGTGTTGACAGGGAATACTCTAGTTGAGGGCGAACGCGCTTGCGACCTTTGCGACTTTGTCTGGCGCCGCTTCGTAACCCTCCCAGTAAATCCACCACAGTGTCCGTCTCGGCAGAACGTTTGTCCTTTTGAAACCCAGCCCTTTTTGGTCGGCTAGTTTTGGGGTTTGCGTACATCAATTGATAGATTCCGCGCCTTCGGAAAAAGACCAGAGCACCAATTGACGCTCCCCTTGCCAATTTCGTGACGTTGGGATGCGACTTGATATGACGGCCAATGTGATGGCGCCCATCAACGCGAATTCGGGCGAATTCGGGCACGAGCACAGGGGGCTTCTGTGCGGTAGCACGCATGCACGCACCGCAGAGGCACCGACAATGCCCGCCGTACCCCTCGCCTGGCCCCTCCACCCAAGAAAATATTAGTCCCTCTGTCTTTTCCGCGAGGACCCCTTATTCTTCGGCTGACAAGGCCAACGCCGGTCGTCGGGTCAGTGGTTTAGGGTTCAGGGCATCCGAAACAAGAAGGAATCTTCACGGAAGACAGGGCAGCCAACTTCATGCCCCCTCCACCCCCCCCACCCACCCACCCCCAAGGACACTCCCACACTCACCGCCTCCCACTCCGTTGCGCCCCCCTTATCCCTGACCCTAATCGACGTGTAGCCTGTCTCCTTGACGCCGCCGTCCTTGTAACTCGCCCAGAAGTCCACCGGCCGGCTGGTCTTCAGCTCGAAGGTGGGCACCACCAGCGACGTCTGGCAGTCCTGGAGCATCGCGTCGCCCAGGGCCGCCTCCAGCACCTGGTTGAGCCCCTTGGGGTCGAACTTGGCGTGGAAGATGGCCTCGACGCCGTCCAGGGGACCCGGCAGGCCGTAGCTCCAGGAGTGCGGGAAGATTTCGTCGCTCTTGAACTTGAAGATGGCCTCAAGGGCGCCGGGGGTGCCCGGCCGCAGTGGCTGGCCCACCTCCCCGGCCCAGTCCACAAACTCCTGCTCCTCCAGCATCCCCGCCGAGCGCCCGCCCCGCGTGGTGAGGTAGGTGGCGATGATGGACCCGATCGACGTGCCCGCGATCAGGTCGAAGTAGTCTGCCAGGTCCACCTCGAAGTCCCCGCTGGCCTTGCCTCGCCGCCGCAGGTTGTCCTTGATCTTCTCCTCCAGCCGCTTCAGCACCATAGTGGACACCATGCCGCGCGTCCCGCCCCCGTCCAGCGCCAGCACCGTCCTGAACCTCGGGCTCTTGCTGCGCCCCGCCACCACGGGGCCGAACCTGGGCTGCCTCGCCACGCCGGGGCCCCCATCGCGCAGGGACGTCTTCTCCTGCCGGGCGATCGCCGGCGGCGCCCACGCCAGGCCACGCGCCTGGCTGGCCAGCCCGGCGCCCACGGCCGCCTCGAGCAACCCCCGGCGGCCCAGCGCCAATCCCGTTTTGTCCCCCATCCTTCTCTGCTGACCTGACCTGGCGCAGCTGCCAGCACAGCGTCACTCTTCGCCCGAGCGCTCCGGAGCACAAACGCTCAAATGCACGGCCCAGAGACAAGTGCAGATTGCAGCGGTATCCGCATGCGGGCATCCGGCAAAGGAACAGCGGTCCGCCGTGCGGATGGCGGTTGAGCGCATCGCTGTTGGGCGCACGGCATGCCAACTGGCTTCTGTGTGGCCCCTCCTCGTATGGACGGGGAGCATGATCGGATGCCTTGTGGGGGGATGAGGTCTAGGGTGAGTGGCCGCACCTGGTATGCGCCCAAGCTCCCCTTGGCCGCTTCACTGCAACGACGGTCGCGCTCTGGACTTTGCTTGGCCCCGGAGACCGGCGAGGTGCCCCGGCACGGTCGGACTATTTCTATTGCACGGGGCAGAGGGCGCGTGCCGCGGGGCGCAGTTGGTGCGGCACATTCCCATCGGATGCTTAAGTTCAATCACGTTTCTCACCCGGGCTTCGCTGTATGTGCGTTTGGGGGCGAAGGGGAGGCGCGACAGTCGCACCGCCCCAACGCACCGCCAAAACGACCGGATCCAGTGAGGTCAGCGGTGGTTTGGTTAGGATAGTTTTGGAGGGATTTGGTGCAAGCAGTCACCGATTTAGTGCAAAGAGTCGCCGATTTGGTGCAGCCAGTAATTGTATGCCGATACACGGCCTATCACAGTGCAATGTGTGTGTGGCGTGCCAAGATTTGTGAATTGCAGTGAGAACTGCAGTTGAGGCTGCATCTTACGCTTCCTTCCAGCATTTAAGGGGATTGGGACGATGGCCTCCGGTCATCGTGATACGATATTAGGCCGCTATATGATATGCCCTAATACGATACTGGGTCGCTAACACATTGTGCTGCGTGTATGCGGCCTGTTCAAAACAGCGCACGCCATTGAGCATGTCACTTAGCTAGCATGGACACCGATGATTGCTAAAGTAGGTGCTCCAACAACGTTGTTGGGACGTCGGATGTGCATGTGGCACATCAACATACCTTGTTACTCAAGATGTGTTTGATATGCCACGCGCTCATCAGACATCTACTGACTGTCGACAATTGACAGGCATGCAATGCGACATGTGTCGAGCCGCACCCAGAACTACTGCTACATATCGCTCGGTGGCGTCTCAAGCTACACAATTAAGGAACACCGCCAGCCCTACGAAGCTCCGGAAAGAAATCTCTGCAAAAGCAGCGCAAAGTTCAAACACTCCAAACTCTGCCAACGCACAGGCTCACCTGTTGTTCTCTTCGCCATCCCATGCTGACTGCAGTCAAGCCAACTGGCTTGGTGTCAGCTGCCCATGGTGCATCCAGAAATATATGAACGTTGCATGCCTAGAATTGCAATGGCTGCCAGCCATACCCTCTTCATCTCCTCAGCCTTCCAGATTCTTTGTCTCCTCAGCCCTTATGCAGCCTAGTAATTGCGCCCCTTGCAGCGTCCCTCTGTGCTGCTGGGATCCAAGATTGGACTTGACACTGGAAACACATGCACGGAAGGACTGTTGCAAGGGTTGAAATGAATGATATTGATACCTCATGGACGTCGATCTCAATGCTTGAAATGCGAACTGCAGGGTGGCCGCCACACCACCGCAGGCAAAAAGTATGCCCACTTGCGTAAATCTGCATTGAAAACGAATGCCTTGGGCTGCCAGCAATTCAGCTTGTTGGCCTCGAACCGGGGGCACCAGGGCTGGAGACCCACGCGAAAGACCAAGATAACCAAGCCGAGCACTATCACACAGTGCTCGTTGCCTATTGCTACTGCGTTGTCCCAGCAAGGCGGGGGTGCTGGACTGAGCTCATGAAGTTTTGCAGCGAGGGCTTGCTGCCTTCAAAACTTCAAAGGGAAAGCACTATGCTGAATAGTGAATTCTCAACGCTGAACGGACGTTGAGGGTATCGGGGTGGTGGAAGCCAGGAATGTTGTACTTCCGCTTGAATCGAGATAGGCAAGGAAATATGAAGGAGACTCTCACTGCGCAAAAGCGCATCGTGGATGTACGTCTCATGCAAGACACTGCTCCCGCTTCAGAAGTGGGGAGTTTGCCTGGTGGCGGTCGCTGGTGCCCCAGGATGTCGGTGGAGAGTTTGCGCAGAACGCGTCATTCACACTGATGGTTTGCACGACACGATGTTGAAAGAGCGATCGGTAATTTTCAACCACTCAGTGTGGGAGATTCACAGCAATGAATCACGCCCATTGCCGATCGGCGCCCATCCGTGTCTGTATTGATATACTCATCGAATTGATGGTCGGCGCACAGGGCCTCTTATTTTTACTTCCTCTGTCCGGAATTAATTGTCCTCTATTTGAGAGACAAAATTCGTTACAAAGGACATCTTAAATCTACCAGAAAACATCAGAATCGGAAAGATTGGGTTGCAAAAACCTTAGCTACCAATTTTAAAGAAAAATATTTGGTCCCACCCCATGTGGATGGCCCCCCAAATTGGCCAAAAATCGTCCAAAAAGTGTGCATGCAGATTGCGCACCCGCTAGAGATCCGCACGTTTCTGGGTCACTCCTGTCCTTGGTGCGCTAAAGATAAGTCGTTATTATCTTTGCAGTGAAGGGTGGTGCCCCTTACATGGAGTAGCGCTTTCCAAACACGCGCGAGCATGTTTGGATCCCCATCGTGGAAAGCCATCATCGAAGTTTTGACGATTTCTGAAATCTCGGCCATCGTCAATCTTTGACGCACATACGTAAAGCAAGCGGACAAGGCTAGGGTCCAAGGTATTCAAGCTTGGGCTATGCGCAAGCTATTGATCCAAGGTTATGCAATAGACTTGCTTGGACAATCTGCCTCGATTGAGGCTTGAATCGTTGTCTTTGTAGGCAGCCTGGCCCACACCCCACAAATGCCACGATCTGCCAATTCTTGCATGCAATCCACAATCCGTCGCAACCCAACAAGTGTGTTTCCCTTTGAGAGGTATAGCTTTACCTATCTAGCTAGTCTTCTCAAGCTCAAACCCTTCAAGTGCCAAAAAATGGTCGATTTGCTATTCCTATCCAGGAGGGCCACTGCCTAATTGCCCCCTAATTACCCCCTAATTGTCCGCCGCTGAATGGAGTGATGGTCACCATCTTTATAAAGGTCTACGAGGAATTTGGGAGGCCTCCTGAAGTATCCCTCATGTGGAGTTGGAGGTCCAAAAGTCGTGGTTCAGAGATTTTGACCTGATGGGCATCTCTGATTTGGCCAATCGAGCTTGAATTGCAGCCACAAGACATGGCAACTTCCAAGATCAGGACTTTCAAGACACACTTTTCTGTTGCTCTTTCCTTTGCAAGCCCCTCCATGATCCTCTGTCCAAATAGAGTGGATAGTTTTGCCCGGGCGGCTTTGTAGCGCTGCCGCAAAGGTGTGCTCCTCAAAACAGCGAAAATGGCCATTCCAGCAGGAATGTTGAAAAACTGGTGGATTTTTGGCTGGATGACCCTTACTACAAAGTGCTGCCAAATCCGCAATACTCAACGGATTGACTTGAAATTTTGACTGCATACTTTCAAAACATAGGCATAGTTTTGAAAGAAATTTGAATGAGAAATAAAGTGCCTATGCTGGAGAAGTAAGGCACCAAAGTCATAGAGGACAATTAATTCCGGACGGAGGAATATATATGAGAGTGAGTGATCTGGATGTGCACCAGGGAGCCTGGCCACTGCTAGGGACGAAAGCTAGCAAGCAGTTCTGTGAGGAATGCCATCACTAGGAGGAAACTCTTGTTTTTGTGATCCCCACTGCGATGCCATTTGGACAAAAGGTGGGGCCGTCAAGGTGACTGCAGCGGTGTAAATGTAGTTGTAATGGCGTCAGTAAATGCCAAGTGGTATCAAGTTAGCATCGCAAAATGTCGTGGCTATCTGCGGTTGCTGCCACAACATTTGCCCATTGTGTGAGAGGAAAGCGCCAATTAGGCGTGTAGTTTTAAGTTTACGGCATCATGTTTACGTTTTACGTGCAAAAATGTGCGAATAGGGAAATGTTTATTGTCACAGCCAGTTTTATGCGTTTTTCAGAGTTCGTCGACTCACCCAGGTTACTTGATGATGCCCTAAGCAAAAATCAGTCCTCCGCCCTTCAGCAACTCCAACACATTTTCCACCTCGCCCTCAGCAAGGACAACGACGTCGTAGAACAAAAGGTCCCTTTATCCTCACTCCAGCATGTCCAAAAGCCATTACCCGGACTCCTCGAATTTATGTTACTTATTGTTTATATGCACATGGCCTATTTTACGCATTTTCACGCTTACTACACGCAATCGTGTATAGCCACTTTTACGTAAAAGTACACGTAAATACACGAGCATTTACACCGTCAGCAACAAGGCTGGCACCAACAGCACGTGGCAAAATCGCTAGAAAAAAAAGCGCCAAATAACACGTGTTCAAGCGTGTACAAAGCTTACGGGTTTGTGTTATTTTTGTGTTCTTAGCGTGCAGAACTTTGATGAAGTGTGTTTAATGTGTGTTTGCAAAAGCGCTATTTGGCCCTTTTTTCCCTAGTGAATGGCATTGTCAGAGTGCAGCCCACCAACGATCTTTTAATAGGCCACCGGAGTCCATTCCTGGGTGTTGCTTCAAGCAAGGTTTCTATGAGTGATGCGGCCATGTGCAATGGACCAAAGTCCAAAGGAATCTATGTTCTAAGCCAGCGTATCAGATTATGAATGGTCAGGACAATTTATTACCAGGTTATGAAGTGTGTGGTTATGATGACAGTACACTAAGGAACCGGTGTGGGTGCCATGACATGGATTCTTTCCGCACCGGTGGCCCGCGAGCTTACCACCGTACTTATGTGGTGAGTGCGGTGTAGTAATGATCCTTTCTCGCGCAAGCAAACTGCGCCCGCGACCCGACCCTGCGACCTCGGCCGACCTGGCCGGCGGAGCCCGCGAGCTTGCCTGTCCCCAAGCATACCACCACGAGCGCCGTGCCCAGCA